GCGAGGCCCACAACGACTAGACATAGTAGCGCCAGTCTCGTACCCACAGCGTCAACGAAGAGCTGAGAGATGGGGAGCGCGAGAGAGGTGGATTCGATGGCCGGAATACTTTGGACAGAGTACAGGAGAGCAAGCATGTAAGCGAGCCCGACGAGCCATGAGCCGATAATAGAGGTAACTATCCCCAAAGGTGCGAGAAGCTCCGCTCGTGTGGCTTCTTCTGCAACTTGCGCAGCGGTTTCGCAGCCTTCAAGGGAGTAGATGGCCTATAGGAAATGGTGGATCGATCGAATGAAGGTATAGAAATGAGGGTAACTTTGCAAACCTGTAGAAACCCTAAAAGAACCACAAAGCCTTTGGACTCCCAGCCGGTAAAGCTGCATATCGATATCATTAGTCCTGAAAATAGTTAAATGGCATCAATAGGAAAACTCACTTCTCAAAATCAGTGAACACAAACTCGGCGGAGTTCTTTCAGAGTCCCTGTCATTAGCATATGCTTCTACACGAATCTAGAAGAGAAAAACCTCAGAGACATACCAGCACAGGCGCCTTCACGAGAAGAGTTACGACGAGTACAACCGTGCCTCCGAGTGTCCACCACACGTTGAACGCGCTCATGCGCCCAATTGCCTTCGTACCGACGGTGTTGATGACCCCGGAGAAGACGTTCACGCCCCAAGCGACTGCGGCGATCTCGACACGTGTCAGTGTCCGACCCGAACCCACCTCTGCGAGAGAAGCGATATAGAGTGCGGTACTATAGAAAAAAGATTTAGATCTTCAGACGTTCACGAATCGAGATTTACCTGAGGTTTCCGGACGTCCCAGTGAAAATCATGGCCACGGTATATAACCATCCTGTGCAAACTTAGAGATTGAAATAAATCACTTCATTGCAAGCCAGAGCAATGCTCGTACATCCAATAAAGGCAAAGTCAGGTTTCATCCTTGACACCCAGTAGTAGAGTCCACCGTTCGTCGGGCTATGCATCCGTATCAGATACCTCCCCAGCATTCAAGCTTTAAGGAAGACGCACTAGGCGCTGCAGATCTCGGCGAGAGACATGGCAATTAGGAGCATGAAGAAGCTGCAAATCTGAGCGTTTATAAAGCCAAGCCGAGCAGGCACAAGTCAATTCAACATAGCAAGTGCCATTCAGACCGACAAGTGGTGTCCGATTAAACACGTACATTCCAGCCCCAGAAGAGCCCTAGCGGCCCACCGGAAAAGAGACCTGTCTGGAACGCGCTGCTCATGCCCGTAAGGATGCCAATCGCGCAGAACGGCATCCCAAGCACGCCGAAAAGCGACATGTCGCGCTTAAACTCGGGCTTGTAACCCAACTCCGCGAGTCGCTGATCAGAGGCGGAGAGTTCGGGCTCCTCAACCCGAGGAAGAACAGCGATGTCGACTGAGGCAGCCATTGCGAGTTCCACCACGAAGACAGAAGGAGAGATGACTATGACTAGAAAGCGCCCATTCCAATGATTGATGTATTGCTTATAATGATCGACTCGTACTTATCGGTGCCTTGTGTGATAAGAATAAAACTCTGTAGACCTTGCGCGTGGCCGAGGAATTGGATAGACGAGAAACGGGCCGGAGATGATGTGTTTATCTCAACTCCGAAGAAACTTATCGGGTCACAATGTCATCAATCAAGAATTGCGAGTACCTTGGAACAAAGAAGCCGACAAACCGACAAAAGAGATTTCAATGACCTAACGTAAGTAATACAATCAATGCAACAGTGATCTCTCACCGTGCATAAAAAGCATAACCACTGCAGTCACTAATTTCAGATTCGCCGCGCACTGGCGATGGCTGAATTTGCAAAGGACACGCATTCGTTGTACATGTACTGAAAGGACAGACGTGTGAGTCTTGTTTACCCTTACCATTACATAAGCGCTGCACACCAGTCTCGCCAGACTCGGACTAGCCGTCATTCGCTCTCAAATACAGGTGGGTGTAGAAATTGACGAACCACGTAAGCGATCATCGCCGCCAAATAAGGAAGAAAAGCCTGTTATTTTCTTTTTTTGGAAGCGCCAATCGCTTACGCGGTTCGTCAATTTCTACACCCATCTGTACTCTGACTGGAACATCCGGTCTGACGAGCTCTCATGACGAAACACAGCAAGAACAATACCGCATCGTCCATTTTCTCGTATCACGAATACAAGAGACTCAACTATGGCACCCAACGCGTACGTTTGAGGTTGAATCTGTGTAACGCGAGGGAGATGTCCTGAATGTTTTGTGATCCTTCATACGGTCTAGCAACGCTTAGGACACGAGTCCATGCGCCAATACGATGCATGTGCGCTATGCCTGCAGAAGGCGCGCAACCCCGTTTCCTGCAACGACGGGCACCTCTTCTGCAAGGAATGCATCTACGCGGACCTACGTTCGTCGCTGCTTTGTCTTCCCGATCCGCGTGTACGGTAACTGATAGGTACGGATGATGCAGTGTCGCAGAAGAAGGATATAAAGCGGCAGAAGGCGAAGCTCGAGGCGCTGAAGAAGGAGGCCGAGGCGGAGCGCCTGCGCGTGCAAGCCGAGGCGCGCGAGCGTGTGCTGAAGGAGTTCGAGCGCGGTCAATTGGGTTTGGGCGGGGTGGTCGCTGCATCAACGTCGGGTGCCGTGAAAGAGAATAAGAGGGAGGTGGAAAAGCACGAGGAAGGAAAAGAGGAGGAAAAGGACGGCGCTGAAGAACGTACGTCCGCCAAACTAACCCGTCTTACGCTCCCGCTTGAACCGTTTCTGTCATGTTAACTTACAGCTCGCGGGACGAAGCGCAAGCACGATCTCAGCTTCTCTCCGACTCACATTGATCGGCTTGCCGCGGAGGCAGAAGCGGTCGCGCTCAAGCGTATCAAGCTCGAGCAGGCGGACGCGCTGAAGGCGAAGTTGCCCGACTTCTGGCTACCATCGCTCACGCCAACATACACGAGCACGGGTCCGCCAAAGGATTTGAAAGAGGTCAAAGTCGTCACGACGTGCAAAAGCGGGAAAGACGCCCATGAGATCTCGTATGTCTGCTTGATAAACCTCCCCATGCCTCTATTCAATACGTTTGGTTCTTGGATTGGCAGCTTAAAATCACTAGTTCCTGTCGAATTCACCTACCCGAAAGACCTTCCGCCCGATGTGAAGAATGCCGCCGACCGGCGCGACGCGATCTGTCCTTCGTGTAAGAAAGGGTTGTCTAATTCAAATATAATGTTCCGTGCGTCGAATCTGTGCTTCCTGTAATTTCTTCTGGTTAATCATCTGCGAGGACAGTGCTTACATCCTGCTCGCACATTGTCTGCAAGACGTGCACCGAGACACTCGTGCGCCCGTCGTCGCAATGCGTGGTGTGCGATACGGAAGCGCCGAAGGAGAAAATCGTGGAACTGAAACGAGAAGGTCCGTACACTTGCTACCTTTCTTTTCATTCACTTTTTTTCTAATCGTGAATGGCTGTGTCAACTTTGGTTTGCATCTTCTAGGTACGGGCTATGCAGGCGGCGGGTTGGCTGAGTCATCGAAGACAGGTGTCGCATTCCAAGGATGATTACGCTTCCTAAGCTGAGGTCTTGTTAGGCCTTACTGTTCATCTCGGATCAAAGCTACTTGTATACTAGATATGTATATTTATACAGACACTCTCATAGATTTTGGTCTGCACACTAGATATTCGTCTTGTGGTTTATAATCAGCGAAAATCCGGCACGTCTGCAGGCTGGGATTTAGAATCTCCGATAGCTGGCATAAGTGTCTGTCCCGTACTGGAAAAGAAGGTCATAAAACGTGGTAGGGAAATGAAGAGGGTAAAAGAATGGGGTAAAATGGCCAATGTCCACCCAACCCGACAGACTCGAGCTAGATGAACATTACCCGACCTAAAGCAGGCAATACCAGGGTTCGAACCTGGGTTCCGGGAAGAACTCTTAACGTCTTGGACGCCGAAATATCAAAATCCCGAGTGATGACCACTACACTATATTGCCATTTATCCGCATTTTTGTGAGAGTTTCTTTGCCCTTTCGGATTGCTAATCTTTACCCAACCCGGCCGATCCTGACTTAAACATCAACAAGGATTCGATCAGAACACAATCTCGGCGCCAGGATCTTCAGATACGTCTCAGTTGTTAGCTAGGAAGCTTGACTCGGCGAGTCGGATATACGTCAGGCATCGAGGGAATTGGAGAGCCGCCATTATGGTATGGGATCCTTATGAGTGCTGTCAAGAGGTAACAGGGTGAGCCACAAAAGCCCATAGAAGAGACTGCTGATGGGAACTTGCTGTATTCTTTACATAACCAAGGACCGGACAGTTACATTCTCGTAGACAGTGCCAGCAAAAGTCGATGAGACAATGCGACATCTATACTGTCAAGGATCCCGTACCAACTCTATTAAGCGGTCAGACCGCCGACTACAGCTCGACCTCGTTCTATCTAGCATGAAGCACGATATGTTGACTGTCGAGAGGTGCGCAAAGTCTTCGTAAGAAATTCAACTTTTTCTCAAGATTTACCTCATGGATTCTAGATAAACCGTCCTCATCAAAGGGATAAGGCCGGTTCTGACAAATTCGCATTCTTTCGTTCTGGCGAGCCTGCCTGTAGGCTTTCGGTATGCTGGCCACAGTTTTACGGGTTTACTGCCGCCAACTTCAAGTTGCAAACTTCAAATGCCCTGACAGAATCTTTCCAAACAAACTGGCCCACTTTGTGTCCGCGCCATTTGTGTCTCCCCAATGGCCTTCTTTGCAACATGTACATACGGAACGCATGAGCAATTGTATCGTTTTTTTCTTTTTGCTCTCGGTTTTTTCTTCACGGACACATTTCATCATGTCTGGAACAAAGTATACAATCATCAAGTTATCTTACACCCAAACAAGTAATCGACCAGAAAATCAGAGAGACCACACTAAACCATGTAATGAAGAAAATGAGGAACAAGAGCAATCGACACTTTACACTGGAACCTGTCGGTTGTCATTGTTTTATTTAAGGGCAGAAAGTAAGGTTGTAATCTGCTGCCAAGCCCGAGTCGCACGTCCAGAGCGCGGTGCCGCTGCTCTCATCGTAAGCATATGCATACGAATTAGGGCAATTGCTCTTGAAGTAAGAATAGTCCGTAACCCCGGAGGACGGGCACGTTGCTGCCGTGTCATGCGAACCCGTGCAACAGTTGGCAGAGTCCTCTGAGAGCAGATAGTCAAATTATGAGGGACTTGATTACTACGGAAAGTAGACGTACGAGGGTCGCCATCGAGGTTCGCAAAGCAGGCACTTTTGCAGCCGAGGGGGATACCTGTCGAGTCGAAGGGACCCGCGAGCGCGCTGGGACCTACGCACGTAAAAAGTGTCTGTACAAACTTCATGCTGATAAATGAAGAGATCTTGTCACGAACAGTTCGGACCGAGATCAACCGGACAATTGGCGACGGAGCATCCGAGATTGTTGGTGATAGCCACGGGAAGGTCGTATCCGTCCACAAGAGAAACTAAATTCAGGAAAATTCTGGTCACTGACATTTCGGCGAGATGAACGATATTAACGTACCATCGTAATAGTCCTTATTACCATCTCCCGTGAGGGTCCACTCCGCGACCGTCACGGGGGGTACACCCTTAATAACGAGATGAGGTCAGGAAGAGTAAGTACTAAGTTCGAGCGAAGCATAAGGGGACTAACAGTGCCAGTGTGCGGGTCGCACAGTAGTCCTCCATTGCACCCACCTGTGGCACACGACGTAGGACCTTGTACGGTGCTAAAGTCACAATTTCGGCGGCCCCAGATACGCCCTGCCGTCCAAGCATCAGGGACGGTAAAGCTAACTGAGGAATATGCCGCCGCCTCCCAGCTAGAAATGTTTCATTGAAGTATTTTGAAATTTGTAGTCACGAAAAGGTCTTACCCAGTTGCTTGATCTGGAACGCTGGTCCCAGAGTTCAGGTCAGTAAAGAGCTAGCGGGCATGAGTCATACACTAGAAGCTCAGAAATGGGTCGAGAAGAAACTCACCGCCGGCCTGTTGAAACGACAGCAACAATTTAGCGTTCCGTCAGAGTATGAGCTAGAAAGGAACGTGCCACATCGTGAAGGGACAGTTATTGGTAACTGTGAAGGTCCTAGCAGAGACTGCAGCAATGAGCGCAAAAAGAGTTATGGTGTTTGAGGGTTTCGAGGTCATGATTGGGATGGCGACTCGGGTTTGAAGACAGCGGGTCATAAACTCCGCCTTTTATGTTCCCAGGTTCCAGTTGAATCTTTCAATGAGCGTAGCAGCAGGAAGGCGGGAGCATGTGCATCGCTTGAGCGAAAACCATTGCCGCGGGCTTGACACGTACAATCTCGGGACCGATAGCACTCGCAGAAAAAAATCACATGGACAAGCGGAAGAAAACCACAGAACAGAAGACCAGTGAATTGAATATAAAGAGAACGCAAAATCTGGAGGTGTGTCGCTGGCACTAGAATGAGATCCATGCGCTCGCAAGCCAGCTCAGAACTCTTCCATGTTATATATAAGATACTATTCAATTTGAGACGTAGAACAGCGCTTTCATCCTTCCGCGGAATGTCGACAATGAGTCCTGGAGCATAGATGAGACTCGATGTCGAAAGGAGTTGAAATACACGTTCTTCAAAGCAAAGGGCAAATTGAAAGCCAGTCATCAGAGAATCAAACGATACGAAGTAAGTGACACACTGTGGGTCGTCAGTATATTGGTGCCGTTACAGTGCCTTAAATCTGATGAGGTCCATCATTCTTATTGTTTAGAGAAGAAATGTTGATACTCGCAACGTACATCAAGATCAAGATTGGGGTCTGAAGAGGCACACTAGAAAGCCAGCTGCATAGTTGTGCAAGAAGCAGGAGCTCCCCTTGATGTGCTATGTTTGTATGTTTTGATCACAGGCGCCGAAGAGAATGCATCAGCAAAGTCGGTAACAGCACAGAAGGAAGAACAACGAGAATACAACACAGGGGTGTAAGTTGGTAGAATCTAAAGACATCCGCCGCAACATGAAAATGAGACCGATTGCGGGCAAACATTGGCGAGTCTCCAAGATTCGAGGCCGACGACATGTCGTGTGTGCCGAATACAGCTACCCGCAGCACCAAACAAGTACTCTAAAATTGAGAAGGGGACATAGGGAGATGTTGAACATCGTGTTTCTAACTTGCTGCGGAGGTCGACAATGGAGAGAAGTCTCGTTCATTAGTCAGTCCGAAGAGCAGCGGAGTTCGAAACTGAGCACGTGAGAAACGTCGTAGAGAGCACAAGTTCCAGCGATCGGTTGTCGATTGTAAAACGACTTAAATTTACATTGCCTGTGCGCGTAGTTCGTTGTGCGCAGTACACCGGATTATTTCTGCCCAGTATTTTTCTTATTCGCGACTGGGTAAGTTACAATCGGAAATCAGACGTTTAAATCAGGTCGCGACATACCGTAAGTTTAGAACCATCGTCGATCGCGCACAACTCTTTACAACTTCGCGTGATATGATCCGATTTCAGAAAAGTGACTTTCATCGGGGCTGTGTTTGAAACGTTACCTCGCAACTAGTGAAAGTAACGTGACGTGCCTGAAAAGCGGTCACCGTTATGGCTGGTTGCTAAACTCGATCTGGTACTCGGTAACATGAAGCCTAATGAAAGGAATGAGCCGAAAGAAATGCCGATATCGGAAACGCCTATCACAAATGTCCGTTAGCGAATCGAATGAGACTGCACTTAGGTAGATTCATTTTGAAAGAGGGAAAAACAATGGTCCTCACAAGCAATGGTCTCCCTTTTTCACTCAGCCATCTGAGCGCTTACAGTTTTTATTTATTTATAAGGCGCTATATAAGTCGATGAGTATGGTTCGAGGTACTGAATTACTGAGCTGTATAGAATGATAGTAACTATCTGGACGTGAATACCGCAAATAGTCTATCCTCAGATAGAGGGTCAATAACACAAGGTGACTAGACCTTCCCTTTGAATATGCATGCAGTCGAATTCTACACTGACCACATCTTGCCGTTTGCTATCCATTTCCTCGACGTTAGAAGTTAATGCTACCAGACGATTCTATACAGATGCCGCCAAAGCATTAATCGCTGAGGTCAGCGAGCGCTACGGGAACACAACTCTCCAGTTCTGCGTAGAGATGACTCGAGAATTCGTCCATGATGGTGGTTGGGGCTCAAGTTGTCAGGCAATACGAGACGTTAACACTGGCATTCCTTATTTGCCACGCTCTAAAGCCCAGCCATTTTGTACCCACGCCCACTATTTATGGACCACATATCAAAACAAGTAACAGTCTACTAATAAAACCATACGCAGTGAATTCTAGAAGAGTCTCATTCGAGCATGAGACGGGATCCAGGCAAGGTTACAATGCCCATAGGTGTATCCGCCATAACTTCGGAAATTCCTGTAATTTGCTGTGTATCTGTGGGTAATCAAAGACGGTTAGCAAAGGAATAAACATAGGAACTCCAAACCAGAGTTTACTTTCATTTGCTGCCACAGAGTGAGCTAGGCCGTCCCAATATACGTGATGACTCAGAGACACTTCCAAGGGAATTTGGCGTAATCGTTTAGCTTGATGTTCCGTGTGGCGCACACCTCATACAAGTGTTTCAGCGCAGTCCTATCGACCCTCTCTGAGGAACTGGTACCGTAAAGAAACACAAGCTTGATCTTCCGGAGCATTGGAAGACGGTATACATCGCCACTCTCTGTTCCTGAGACCTCGAGACCGAACGCAAGCGCCTGCGGCACCTCGATGTGGTCAGTTGGCAGGATGATGTATTCAAGAGTTTCGAGCGCTGGGAGCTCCAGTAAGGTCGCTGGGCGCACACACCCCGTTTCTAATCGGAGATGCTTTAAAGAGCGAAGGGCGGGGAAAGCGATAGCGATAGATCGGTCCGGTTCGGTGATTTTAGAATAGTATTTCACATCGAGGTCGACACTTGTGAGACATGGGGCCCAA